AGCATCACTCCTTCAGTAAGGATGACAAGTAATCTCCTGTTTCGATCTCTGCTATGATAATTGCTTATTTTATAGAATTGGCTCTACAGGACGTGGGAGATATAATATTAGATGGGAGTCGGCACCCTTGTGTTGAAGCTCAGGATTGGGTGAATTTTATCCCGAATGACTGTAAACTAGTGAGTAATCATGTAATCTGGGGTTGACCTATCTTTAGCAATCGGTGTTGAAGTAAGTAATTACCTACCTCTATGGTCTTTCCAGGTTAGGGAAAAAAGCTGGTTCCAAATCATTACAGGGCCTAATATGGGTGGAAAATCCACCTACATACGGCAGGTATGCTGCTTCAATTTAGTTGAATATTCAATTTTTCCTATCAAATTTACAAACCCAGAACAGCAGTTTTGATGTTCGTAAGTAGAATAATCCTTTTGCAGTGTAGATGAGAATTATCAAGGATTGGGCAGAGTGTGGTTGCAGATTAAGTTTTAGGGTTTAATTTCATTTAGATTGATTATATCAGAGTTTCATATATCCTATCCTTTCCTCTTTTTATCTTAGCCTTCTTTCTCCTTTTCATCGTTTTAGCTTATCTGTCTTATAAATTTTTTCTATTAGTCTCTCATTCTCTAACGATATTGTGTCAGTCCTATTTGTCGAAAGTATCATATGCATTGATTATGAACTTGACATGAGTGAAGCCAGGATTTTGCTATCATGGAATACCAAGTACAGGGTTTATTTCTCATCCTAGATGTTTAAGCTATGATTTTAAGATGGTTGGATTTGTTTAACATGTATTTAGAAAGTCCATGTTTATGAATTTTATACAGAACAGATTTGATTTTTATTTAGTCCTTTCAATACAAGGTTGAGCTGCATTTGGTTTCAATTCAATTGAGAGACTAAGCATCTTTTAATTGTTATCTTCCCCATCTTCATTTTCCTTGTAGGAAATCAAATATCCATTGCTTTTAGGTTAAATCTGAACCAGCAACGTTTTCAGACTTCATTTGTATATTAAGACAGTTTTTGCTTAGGAGAAAATAAGCATCACTGAGTAACATGTTTTTACAATCGA